CCATCTTAACACCTCGTAATGGGCTTGTGCTCTCCTAGTTTTTGGGTGTGTGTAGGTTGGGGTAGGTACGTGTGATGTTAATGACAGTAATGTTAGGTGATGTGTAATAATTGTGACATCCATGTTTGCAAGTGGTCGCTGTAATGGTACGTCGAGTGTCGTCGTGTAATTTCTTGAACGATGATACCGGTGTTTCACTACAAGGGGAGTGCATGCGTGTTTATGAACTGTGGGTTGCGTACCTTGTAATGGTGTTGTCGGCTAATTTCGTAATTCCTCGAATGTGTTATGTTTATTTTGGGGTAAAGTGTTGTTCCATTGATTTGCTCGTGAATGGTTGATGAATAAACCCCTCTAACACCACATCCACATGGGGGATGTTGGCCTGACATACCATGCATGTTTTGGGATTTTTGTTATTTGCATACTTATTTGTGGTTATATGTGGCACATTGTTGAGTAAATGTTATGAGTTCTACCTTTTTACGATGTTGGTACTAGTTGTCATGTATCTATGGCTTTGTATGTGGGTGGGACGTGTACTGGTTTTATATTTGGCGTGTTGGTTGTGTCTAATGTTTCTACCGTTCAAAATTGGAACACATACGTAGCATGTTATGCTATTAAGGGTGTTTGTGTGCTGTTATAATGATGTTTCGTGCTTTTTTGTGTTGGTTGATAAGTGTCTTTGCGGATGCATATTTTGTATTCCCCGTATTAATATCTTAATGTGACTAATGTAGCAGGTAATAAAGGACGGCAGAGCTCAAAACATAAGTCTAGTGGAAGAATACCACGCTCGCAATTGTTCATACAAACGTCCACTAGATTGGCCACGAGGAAAAATGAAAAATTGTTTGTGACTAATGTGGCAGGTAATGAAGGACGGCAGAGCTCGAAACATAGGTCTAGTGGAAGAACACCACACTCGCAATTGTCTATACAAACGTCCACTAGATTGGCCACGAGAAAAAATAAAAAAATGTTTATACATTTCCCCACCCCCAAGGACAATAAAATAACATCACAAAAAAGTAATCCAACCATTAACACCATAAAAAACAAAGTCCATATTGATACCAAATCGAACCACCAACAACACACAATAAAGCAGCACTAGGAAAAAAATGTTTACCAACCTAATAATCATCAACTCCTAGCTTTAATTTTTAGTAATGTGAGTAATGTTTACCTACATCAATAATGTTTACCAGAAAAATTAAAATTGGGATTTAATTGGCCAAAAAATGTTTACCAATATCAGTAAAGCCACAAGATATAACGTTGCCATTGACAACACCACACCGCCGAAAAAATGTTTACACGTTTCGACCACAAAAACAACAAAACAACATCATCGAAAAAAATCCTAACAATTAAAGATCATAAAGAGCAGAGTCCGACGTATCCACCAAATTAAAACCCTAACAACACACAATAAACCAACATCAGAAACACATTAGCACCAACCTGAACAATTCGCACAGCACGCACACTCCACAAACCCAAATCAACAGCTCAAACTAATCACAAACATACACCTCTTAACCAACCATAACGAGTTTGAGATGTGGATTGACTTTTTGATTTTTTAGTTTTTTGGTTTTGGAATAGGCCTTTTGACTTTTTTGACTTTTGTGGAAAAAAAAAATGTAATGATTTTCATTTGGATGTGACAACTTTTAGCTGATGACTCTAAAGTCTATTTTGTCTTTTTGTAACTAAAATAGCTCCAACCCATGCCAAACCCATATGCCAAATGACTACTGGGTAACGTCAAACACCCCCAAATCACTCCATGCAATTGCCTTAAAAAAAAAAAAAAAAAAAAAAAATAGAAATGTTAGAACATACTTTACCCACACACACCCAACACAAACAAACAATGAAAATAAAATCACAAACAGGGACAAACAAGTAAACTCCAACGTCACTATATCAAACAAATATAACATACCAAAAATAAAAAAAGGATTATTTGGTTTATAAGAAAAAAAATATAAGACAAAATGGAACAATATTTCTCCATATGAGATTTAAGAGTAATTTTTCCTAAAAAAATTGACTTTTTCCCTTAAAAAAAAAAGAAAGAAAGAAAAGGTTTTAAGAAAATTGAAGAAGACTTTTTTTTTAAATATCGAATTTCGATTGGATCTAATTTCTTACCAAAATACGTAGACAACTATATGGCGGATCCAAATTATATTTTTCATTTATTTTTTTAAAAAAAATAGCGGGTTAAAATTATCAGCTCAAAATTATTTTTATTTTTTATAAATAATCTACATATAAGGGTTACAAATAAAATAAATTATTGGAATCACCAAATTGAATCATGGTAGAAAAAGGGGAATGATCTAGAAAAGTTAATAATCTTTTACTTTTATTTGAATGGATTCCAAAAATAAGAATAAAATAAAAAAAATCATAAAAATAACGGGTAATGTTATACTTCTAATTTTTGTGGGTTTGATCATAACTGTAGAGCTCTTATATATAATTAAAATATTTTAACTAATTTTAGAATGAATTATAATTAATTTTATAATAGATCATAACTAAATACTACAAAGGCTGTCAAAAATAATCACCATTTTTTGTTCTAGAAAATTGAGTTAACTTTTTAAAAAATTAAATTTTTGTTTTTCTTTTCTTTTTTTTTTTGTTTTCAGTAAATGTTTTAAATATTTTACTCATATATATATTTTTTAGATTCACCTAATTTAAATAAGCTTAAAAAGTATAATATTTGTAAAAATAAAAAATAAAAATCAACCAAATATAAAAAGAAAAATATGAAAATTTAATGCATTTTCGTATTTTGTTATATTCAATGAATTTTTTTTTTAAATTTTTTTGTAAAATTTTTTTACTTTTAAGTATATTAAAATTAAGTGAATCTAAAACTTAACGAAAATTAATTAATTTTTTTAAAAAAATTATTAGAAATATAAAATACGAATTAAAAATTCAAAGTTATTGAAAAAATTGAAAACCAAAAAGGGTAAATTAGATCTCAATCATGAAATCCGAGATCCAAACAAAGATAAAGAAAGAGGGATGGACAATCCATTTTCCACGAAATAGGAAGGAGATTACATTATGGAGAGAGAATAAAAGGAAAAATATTTAGTATAATGGTGTCACCATCTTATGTGATTTTATTGATTAATAAAATGTTACAAAAGATACAGTTGTGAAAGGGATTATACAAGTCTTATCTTTCACTACTCAATATTGTTCTAATCTCAATTACTAATTAAGATTGCTCATTAGATGGGATTATACAAGTCTTATCTTTCACTAACCCAATATTATTGTGATCTCAATCACTAATCAAGATTACTCATTAGATGGTGATAACGTCACATTGTATCACAGTTATATTCAATATTTATTCAAATAAAATGAACTCTAAAGATTATATGTATGTTTAAATAGAGTGATTTGGTGAAAAATAATAAGGAAAAAAAAAAAACTGAGAAAAAAAATTTATTTTCTCACATTTGATTTATGAATAAAGATTGAGAATTTTAATTTTGGAGCTCTAAAGAGAGCACTAGTGATGTGGCTAGAGAAAAAATAAATAAATAAATAAACATAGACACATACATCACATCACAATAATGATAAAGACTACTAAAACATTACCACTAACATCACCACTAATGATGTGGCAAACTAAAAATAAAAAAAAAAACTAAGACACAAAACACATGTGCCCTAGTGCAACCACTAATTAGTGGTCTGCATCATTTTTTCATCACATCATATGTGAGCCCCACTCTTTACCACATCACTAATGCTTTTTTTAGAGCTCTAAAATTAATGCTCTCTATCATTGTTGTTTAATTTATACATTGAGCCTTGGTTTCAGATGTGGGTTAGTTTTTTGACTTTTTAGTTTTTGGGCTATTTTAGGAGTGGTTTGTGATGTTCTAAATAAGTGCAGTTTTTGAATTTTTATAATAAAAAAAATGTGTAGAAAATTAGAGAAAATGGGTAGAAAAATAGAGCGAAAATGTTGATAGATGTTGATTGATGTAACCCAAATAAGTGTATGTATGCCAAAAAAAAGAATGCACTTTTTAATGCAAGCCAAACACCTACTAAAAAGCCACGTTTGAGATGGGCTTTTTGGTTTTTTTAACTTTTGTGAGAGAAAAAATGAAATTATTATAGTTTAGATGTGATGTTTTGTCTAATTGACTTTTTAACATATTTTGTCTTTTTATAACTATTTTAGCCCAAAAAGTTTATGCCGAACATAGCCTCAGAAATGAAGATTCTTTTATTTTTATTTGCTAAGTTTTATTTTTCACCAAAAGTGATAATAAGATTTAATGAGAAACAAATTAGTTGTATATTTTTCATAATATTGAAATTGTGTTTTAAAATACAAAAGAAGAAATTTTCTTTTTACCCATATTCTTACCCAGGTATATATATATATATATATATGGGGTAATTTGAAAAGTTAGTTAAAAGTTAACTTTTTAATTTTTTTGACTTTTTTATTCTTTTGTGTGTAAAAAATATAAAAGGTAATATGATCCAAAATGAATTAAAAGTTTTTTTTTTTTTAGATAGGAAAATGAATTAAAAGTTAAAAGCTAACTTTTTTTTTTGCTTTCCAAATAATCCCTATATATATATATGTATGTATGTATTACTCATTTAAATATGATAATATGAAAACCCAATTTTTTTTAATCGACTCCAAGTAGATACGAAGGTATATGCAACGAGTTTACTTCAATAAAAATAAACAAATAAATAAAATACAGGAACTCGGGAAGAAAATAATAAAACTATGTTAGAAATTTGAATTATAAAATATTCTACATAATATTTATATAAATGTAAAATTTTAAATAAATTATTAAATATTTTACAGGCGAATCATCCACAATTATATATAGATGATAAATGGCATAGATTCACAAACAAAGAAACAAAAGACAGAGCATATATAGGGATTATTAGCTAGAAAACCTTACTTGAAATGGACAGCTCCGAAATTCAAGGCATATTCACGAGGTTGAAGGACTCACTCTAACCTTAGTTTCTTTGCCCCTCTCTGCGTCTCTGCGTCTTTTACCGCTCTCTCTAACTCTCCGGTGATTTTACACTTTACCCGTAAGCTATGGACCTTTGTTTCTTTATTCCCTTTTAATTGTTGGAATTTTGTTTTTTTAGAATGACTTTGCTGGTCTCTTTAAAATAAGGAAAAATTGCACAAAAATCCAAAGATGAGGAAATAATTGCAAAAGAATGGGAAATCTTTTGGAAGTAGATTAACGTTGTGTTTGATTGAGAGATTTGAAAAGGAATTTAGAAAAGGTATGTGAAACTAAGTAAAATGTAAATATATTTTATTCATATTTCACTCATTTTTTTTTCTAAATTCCTCAATAAAACACAGCCCAAAAGTCAATTTTTTGATTTTTTTTTAAAAGGTAAAAATAAATAAATACAGAGATAATACGACCTAAAAAATTTAGAAAATCAATAAGCTAACTTTTAAAATTATTTCCAAAATATGCCTAAATATGAAAAAAATTAAAAAAATGATAAAATAATGGACAAAGTTACAAATTTGTCCCTACCCTTTTTTGCCCTAACCCCTCTCTTCTTCAACCTCCCCCCTCTGCACCCTCTCTCCTATCAGCATCTACCATCTCCAGCCACCTTTCCCACCTTCTGATTCCATTGTGGCGCTACCAATCCCATTCAACCTCTACCTTCTTTCTTCCCTTCCACCCCAATATTTCTCTCTAAACCCTTCTTTCTTCCCCATCTCTAGCCACCATTGTCGCCGCCGTCAACGCCCTTCAATCTCCATCTTCTCTGTTCTACAACTCCGGTCATGTGCAAAGAAGGTGGAATGAAAGGGGTGGGGGAAGGGTTGCCATGACGGGAGAGTGGCTGTGATGGCATATGAGGGCTAGGGTGGGGAAGGTCTGGGCGTCGAAATTGCAGAGAGATTGAGAGGTAAGGGTTGCGGTAGTTGGAGGAAAGAGTACAGTGGGTTGTGATGGTTAGAGAAGGTGTGATGGTGGCGGTGAAGGGAGGCACATATATATATATATATAGAGAGAGAGAGAGAGAGGGTTGGCCGGAGATGGGTGGGGGATAGATGATTGTCGAATGGAATGGGATGAAAAGAAAAGAGAAGAGAGAAAGAGAGAGAAAAGAGAAAGTTAGCGCAAAGGGTAATTGTGTAATTTTATTTATTCTTTTGCAAATTTTTTTATTGCGTTCCATGCTAAATGTAATTAATTTTTATTCTCCCTTCTTTTGCAATTATTTCCTTGTCTTTTCATTTTTCTGCAATTTTTTCTTAAAAGAAATTTACAATTTGAACAATAATAACATAATATGATGAGTAATGGTAGAGATACCAAAAAAAAAAAAAGGACCAAAAAAATAAAATTTGCCAAATATTTTATCAAATATCTTATATGGATTTGAGTTTCTAAAAAATTGAAAACCTTTAACATTTTTTATAATATAAAGTTTGACTCACTTGTCACATTATTATAAATAAATTTATAAATTTAAAATTATAAAGTTTTAACAATTGTTCAAAACCTTAAAATTATAGAACACCATTGCATGCGCGAGGAACAGTCCTCATTTATTTATTTGTTTGTTTTTATTTTTTTGATCTGAGAAAAAGATATTTAGAGGTGTTATCACTGCATCCGTGGGCCCATGTCTTGGGATAACTGGTTGTTAGCTTGATTTAACCCAACTCATAAAAAAGGACACATTACCAAGACACCAACGGAGCTCAACCATATGCCACAAACGAGCCTAGGATTCAATCGGAGTATAGTGTGAGATCTCTATAGAGAGCCACCGGAATTACCCAGCATTTCACTCTTCACTCTCCCCAAGAGTCGAGCCTGGGTCATACTTGGGGAAAAGAATGCTTTCTAAACTAGGCCACCACCCCCGGTGGTTCTTCCTTCTTTATTAGGTCCCCTGATTTTATGTCTTGACATTTTTTATTTATTGAATTTGTGTTACATAATATCCCCCGTGTATTTTATAGGAAGTAGATCTCCTTCAATCTAACATTTTGATTAGCGGCATTGTTTAGCTTGTAAGGCCTATTACGGATTTTATTTTAATAATTTGAATTATTCATTTTGTCAGATATTTTGTGCATTTTATCTACACACAAAATTAAATTGATCCGATAACTGTAACTTGTTCAATTTATTACATTTGTGATAAAAAAATATATGATTTATTTTTAAAAATACAATTGTCCTTTATTTTTTTGGTAAAAAATACAGTAGATTGAACAAATTACTGTTACTAAATCAATCTAATTTTTTTGTGATTAAAATACAGAAAATGTTTGACAAAATAAACTATTTAAATCATCAAAACGAATTCTGTAGTATGTCTCACGGGCTCAAACAATAACCTTCAATCTAAATTTTGGATCGAAAGGGATCTACCTCATATTTTATATGGATTAGGATTCTCTGTCCCAAGTTTTTGTCCCATTGATCAAATGTTGCCATTCATTAAAAGGACAACTCACTCTATCATATCACCTCCCCTGTTTCTAGAAAAAATTGTTTGGTGTTTCTGAGGTGCCACATGGGTGTGTCCCTCACCAATTACAAATTTTCATGTTCTCTCATATTTTTCAATCGCTCAATACAAATTTGTAAATTCCACCTTCTTTACCTGTTACAACACTATAGGGGCACCACGTGCCAGTGCCCCAAGACCAATCCATTACATCTCCTATTTATGTGCTTCTCACGCTCACCTTCTCCCTCATTGTTAGCTCTAAATCCCTTACATTCTCTTTATATCTAGCATCTACTCCCCTGCTCACCTAGAATCACCTCCTCTATTTCTTACATTAGCAGATATAAGTTGATTCCTAAACTGGGTATAGCATTCCAATAGCATCAAACAAGTTGATTTATTATCAAGAACACGCACAACTATGAAGCACGGGTACTCCAAAATTATTGTTGTACAAGTACCGGGTACTTACCAGGTATGGCTACACGTACCGGGTACAGAAAAACGTACCGAGTATGTTTTATACGGCATGTATACATCTAGTACGCTGTGGGTACGCGAAGGGTACTCCATGGGTATGTGGTTGGGTACGCCAGGGTTAAAACCAAAATTTCAGCATTTTTTTTGGGCACTGGAGCAATTATTTTTTGCCCATTTTGAAAAATTAAACAAATAGGGGGTGTTTAGTAATAATAAAAAAACATAAAAGGAAATTATATCAATGGTTTGAAGAAGCCCTAAATCATTTGAAGAACAAAGAAGCGCTAAATCATTCGAAGAACAAAGTCAAGTCGACTTCTCCATTCGAAGAACAAAGTTCGTCGAATTTGTTATCCATCAAAGACGACAGTGAAGCTCGATATTCCAGTGAGTTCCTCTCTTTCTTCTTCAATTCCTCTTTCTCTCTTCGGCACTGAAGCTCGATTCTCTCTCTCTCTCTCTTTTAGAGTTTTTCAAATTTTTCTCTCTTATTTTATTTCAGATTTTTTTTCTTTAGATTCTTCTTCCTCTTTCTTCTTTTTCTTCCTTTTTCAGATTTTTTTTCGTATTCCCAATTCTTTTCAGATTTTTTCTGATCCATTTTTTTGTTTTTATTTTTGTTTTTTACATTCTTTTTCCTATAGCAACTGGAATTTGATGCAAGCTACAACCTTATTCCTCTTTAATCATCTTCAAAAACAATTAGGTAATGCAAAATCACCTACTCTGTGCGCTTTCTTCTTACTGTTGTAATCTTGTAGTAGACATTAAGAATTGTATAAAATAAAAGATAAAAAAAAATTAATCAAAATTATATAAAATAAAAGATAAAAAAAATTAATTACTTTCATCATAGAGTATTGATGTATTTAATTGTTATTTGAATGTATGAGAATTATATACTTGAATGAAGTGAAAGAAATTCACAAATTATTTTGTAATTTTTCTTTTTAATTATGATATTAAACTTTGATTTGTATGTTAGATGTTTAGAGAAAAAAAAAAAAAAATTGAAGTACCCCAGCCGTACCCGTACCTTACTTTTTTTAGAATTTGCCGCATCGACGTACTCGTACCGTACCCGTATCCGTACCCGTGCCCGTGCTTCCTAGACGCACACCGACTGAAAATTAATCATTTTAAGTCTTTAGGCTGTATTTAATTTATGGAGTTATGGAATGATTTGAAAAAATTAAAAATATATTTAAAAATATAGATGAAATATAAATACCATTGGAAAATAATAGTTTTTCGGTAATTTTAATTCGAAATTAAAGTAAGACCCAACCACCGGTTGAGGTGAGTCTGAGTGTTTTTGTATACAAAAATAATGAGCCAAAACCATTGAGTTGTGAATAAGAATTGTCTTATAAAGTAGGCATCAATAAAGTTGGGTTTAGATTTGGACTTAGTCTTGGTTTGGATTGGGCCTAGACTTGTACTTGTGCATGTGCTGGGTTTGATCTTAGACTTGGACTTGGACTTGGACCTGGACCTAATCTTGAGTTTTGGGCTGAGCTGTGCTAGGCTTAGTTTGTCCATATGTTTGAGATTGGACTTGGATCTGGTTATGACCCAACACCCGTATCCATTTTGTAACACATCTAGTTTAATTCTCAAAACTTGTGCATTATATACACATTATGATTTATGTAATGGTTTTGGAGTTTTGAACATTTGTAACTCCAGCCTAATGGCTAGAATTGATGACATATGATGACCCCATTAATGTTAGCCTTCATGACTATGACTCTCCTCTACTAGTATAAATATAGGTCTTTCTCCTCCAACTTAGTAGGTTGTTTTTACAGAGGTTTTGTGATGGAAAATGAGATGGTGTTTTGAGATAAAATGTTGGAGATGGTTTTTTATATCAAAGAAAATTTTTCCTATCTTTTTTTGTTAGCCTCTTCTTTGGTTCTGGTTCTTGTTAGAGAGAGTGCACCCATTGTCAAGTTCGCCGAAAGTATTCAGAAGGTGCTTTTGTATTAGTTGGTTTCGATCGTTGTATCCTGAAAGATAGATGCTAGCGTACCTCCAGCATCCATCAGGAGGCAGTGAATCTGTTTTAAGGAAACTATCTAGTGCAGGTTTCAATTTGCTTCTTTTCTTATCATTTGTTCTTAAATTTTTCAATATTTAGTTTACAAAGATGAGT